GTTACAGGCTGAGTCATTTCTACCTTCTCCTCTCTGTCAACGCTCTCTGGTTTCATTTAAAAGAGGCAAACATCAGATATTGTCCAAAATTAACCTTCAGGGTGGATATAGCTCGCTAGCAGCCTCGCACCGATGACCTAGTTGATGTCATCATTTACCCAGAATGCTTTGAGTGTTAAAATAAATGTTTATCAAATAAAGTCTAATGTTACAACTAATCAGGGATCCCTTTAAAACGCTCATGATTCAAACAGCTCCTGCTGCTTCACTGTGTTAAATCAGAAACATCTTAGTTTTATTTCAACAAACAACAAAATGATTAATATATAAAACACTGCGCTGAAAGGAATGGGACATTAACTTAACAAAACAATTAAAGTCAAATAGGGATGTTTCTAGTTACTGGTCCAGTGGCGACACTTGGAGGCCATGCTGGGAAATTGTTCAAGGAATGAAAACAATTAAGACAAGAAAAGACAGGACTTTGTTATCCCAAAGGAACTTCACAAGTTACCGGCTGCTTCAAATCACACAATAAAATAAAAGAGGAAAAATAAAAGCTTCATCCTCAAATGTTTTTGTCTCCAACTTCCATGTCATTTCTTTACCTAGGCTGCAGATGTGATAGGATCATGCAGACAGACAAAACTTATTTAATTCTATTTGCATATTTAGATTGCGCTCTCAATACTGCATTCATCAGGGTGTACAAAAAGAAACATGTTTGGATTTATGTGCATGCAGAGAGGGTTACATGCATGTTTTTTTGTCTTAAGCCTACAACATGATCGAGAAGGAAATCCATATAGTCTTTGTAGATGAGGTCCCAAATAGGAAAAACCAATATAGATAATAATAAAGATGATGTCTCACATAAAAAAAAGAGTTTAACTTAAAGTTCATGAAAGTAACAGTCAATCTAATGAGATTCAACATTTAGAACACTAACCACGTAAGTCTGACCACTCAACACCTGCGCATGTACAAACTCTGGCAGCATACTAGATTAGTTTCAGTCACAATGCACATTTTAGCTGTGTTTAATAAAGAAAATTGGGGAAAGTTGAATTAAATCCCACCAGGAGGACTACAAACTATTGTGCTACGGTACTTCTAACAGTGACAGGACACAGCCATCATCCCCACATGGAAAGTGCTAAGGTGCTAGCTAACGGCTGGGTTGGAGAGATGGGACGAGCCAAGACTGACCGGGAAAAAGCACAACCACAGACTGAACGAGCAGCAGACAATAAAACAAAACACTTTTACATTCTCTCTTATTTGCTGTTGAAGTAATATTTTCTAAATTCATATACTGTACACACCTGAACAAAAATCATACATTGCATTTAAGAATAAAAATAAAAAATCAAAATAAATCATTAAAATATCTACATTTACATACAGAAAATGTCAAAATGTATTCCCACAACTCTGAACAAAACATGTTGATTATTTTGTTTTTTTAGTTTTATTTATATAAAAACTATGAATTACATTTAAAATCATTGTTAGAGGCCAACCTTCAATAATTTAAATTCCATGTTTTTTTTATTCTCATAAATTTCCATTAAATCCATGGAAAGTTTTCAACTTTGAAAATTTCCAATTTATTGCAACCCTACATTGAATGAGAATAGGAAGAATACAACAAACCAAAAAAATAAATAAATAAATAAGGGGACTTACTCTCATCTTCATCATCTGAATCAGAGATATTAACTCCTCCCTCACTGATGGTGACTCGCTCTGAAAAGTGTAAAAAATAAAAATTCATCCTGACAAAGTAGCAATAAATCAAGCAGAATTACCTTCTAAATTGACACAAATGTGTTTTACTTAAATTAAATGTTTTCCTAAATGAAACTTGATTTTTGAGCCTTACTGGGAATAAAGTGGGAGACCACCATCTTTAGACAGGTACACAGGTAGACAGTCTGAGCTGACACAAGGTTACCAAGGAAGGCCAGGTACTCCTCCACCACAACCTGGCTACGGCCAACCCAAGGAAGTCTCTGGAAGCAAACACACACACACACACACACACACACACACACACACACACACACACACACACACACACACACACACACACACACACACACACACACACACACACACACACACACACACAAAGACAGAGAAAAGAGTTCTAGTCTATCATTAAAGTAAGATTATCAGCTTGTTAATGAGGTGTCTGTGCAGTAAAATCTAAAAATCTAATCTATTTAAACACAAACTTTCAATTAAAAAAGATGTTTAAACTATATATAAAAATACACACACTGCCTGACCAAAAAATGTCGACACCTGGGTTTAACTAAGCAAATAGTACGAGCCTCCTATTGGAGCATGGCTGATTATCTTTCAGCTTCTAACAAGTGATTTTCTTCAACAACCATGTTGAAACACATCCCGTGGTCATAAACATGTCAGTCTGTTTGAGAAGGGTCAAATCACTGGCTAACCAGGAAAAAAAGGTTTCAGTTTGTTAGAGAGCATAAAGATTGGACTCAAGACAATGGTAGAAGGTCAGGTGGTCCGATGAGTCCAGATTTACTCTGTTCCAGACTGGTGGGCCCATCAGGGTAAGAGCAGAAGCAGGTGAAGTGATGTGCACCAGCCTGTGGGGGCAGGTCTATGATGTGGGGTTTCTGCAGTTGGTCAGGTCCAGGTTCAGCAAGTTTGTGCTCAAAAAATGAGGACAGCTGACTACCTGAATAGGGTTGCACAATATATCGCAAATTTATCGTTATCGCCATAACAGCCAGTGCAATATGCATATAGCAAAAAATGCATAAATTGGAATAAATGATTGGTTATAATGTTTGCATTTATGTGGTTTGTCAGCATCASWGGTYCTTARCCTGGGTTCGATCGAACCCTAGGGGCTCGATGAGCCGGTCTCAGGGGCTCGGCGGAGCCTCTGCTGCGGAGGTAAAGACACACTTATGTAAAGTCGTGATGACACGCCCCGCTTGGCCGTCACTTGCTGCAGATCACGTGAGATTGTTTGGCCAATCAGTGCTGGCCCCAAAAAAGAATTTAGTGGATTCAAAACGACAAAAAACAAATTAGCTTTAAAATAATTTTAAAAAGTTATTAAAAAGTGTTAAATTCTTCAAAAAAAATCCTAATTTATTTTTTATTAGTAAAATAGTAAAAGAAATATTTTTGGGGGGGATAAATTTTTTATGGGGCCAGAATAAAGTCATATTGTAATTTTGTTGTGAGTTCATRCACTGTGTTGGTTTTGTTCTTTGAGCAAGGTGATGTTCATGCACGGCTCATTTTATACACAAGCAAAAAAAAAATGTCTTGAATTTGGAAAAAAAAATCGCACTTTATGTTTCACTAAAAAGGGTTCAGTGAATGCGCATATGAAACTGGTGGTGGAAACCTCAAAAAAGGTTAAGAACCACTGGAATGGACCAGAGAAACAACATCAAATCATAACCACTCCATCAAGTTGTAATGGAAATTATGTATTAGTTGTTTTTTTGTTTGTTTTTTTTGCTCTGAACCCAGAGCAGAAAAACATCAACACTGTATACTTAAGTATTTTTGATTTATCACAAGTCATATTGTCATCGCAGTTTTTCTTGATATCGTTCGGCCCTATACCTGAACATACTGAATGAAGAATCATAGAGCTGGAATTGTGACAGAGTGGTTCAGGGAGCCTGAGGCATCATTTTCACGCATGGATTTTTAATTWAAAAAAATGTATCTATGCTGAACAAATGACCATCCCTTGTTTTTTGAATGCTGAGGCACACTGCAGTAGTTTTTAGTTTCACTGCTCAGTGATGACAAGTGCCATTTTTAGCACATGCTTCATGCATTTTTGGCAAGACTTGAGTCAGATATAGTGAAACAAATATTTAACTATCTCCATAAATTTTCAGCACAAACACATTATGTATAATTTTATATTTAAAAAAATATACTAAATATGTCTGTTGTACTGCACAAAATAACTTAAATACATTTTTCTTTATTTGTTAGACTGACTTTCTCTACTAAAATAACTACAGTGGGGAGAACAAGTATTTGATACACTGTTGATTTTTCAGGTTTTCCCACTTGCAAAGCTTGTAGA